TTCAGTACTACGAACCTCCATTGGTGTATTATTGGTGCAATGCTGCTCTCTGGACACAGTGTGACTATCTGGCTTTCAATGTGATGGTGTAATCTGGAATTGTCATCTCGCTGTTGCTTATTTTCCTTGCAATTTGGTATCAGAGCTGGTTCATATTGCGCATCATTGGTTCTTCGCAATGGCTACTGGTGCTTCGCATGAGGTGTGGGGCAGTGACAAGGCATTGGCGTTGAACATTAGGCGGCCCAGGGTAGAGTGGGCGCGCCAGGGAGCTATGTGGTGACATACGGGGTGTATTCTGGATGATGAGAGCTCGCTGATGTGGCATATTAAGCCGAGGTGGAACCGCATTCTGCTGTTGGTTGTGCCGAGGCAAAGACCGGTCATCATAATTGCACATCAGGTTACCGGTGAGAAATCTGTGGTTGGGGGCAGCATTTATGAGGTACGTTGCTCTCTTCCTTATCTACCCTCTTCATCTCTTCTTACCGTGAGGAAGTGAGTTCTGTCTTGAGAGTCCTCTCGATGTGAGGTGTGAGTTCTGTCTTGAGAGTCCTCTCGATGTGAGGTGTCGCGAGCGCTCAACCTTGAGAGTCGACATTCTTCCTGGGCAGCAAGCTGGTGGGAGATGGGCGAAGCCTCTGAAGGGCCCTGGACGAAGCACTCGGGTCACGGTCACCATGCCAACCCGCTGGGACTACTACACGCATGCTTTGCCGCAAGTCCTTGGTTCTGCTGCTCGCGCAATAGAGGTCATGCAGGGCATGCCAGCCCTTTGACAGACGCTTACCAGACCATCTTTAAACATTTCTGGCTGGGGACTCGGAATTGAATCTGGCTGTGATCGTCGTCCTGTCTGCGACGTTAAATAATTCCTGAGGAGATGGGAGCTCTCCTTAAATCCCTCCTGATCAGCCAGATCAACCAGATGTAAGGCTCGTTGCGTGCGAGGGTAAATAAAGTGCAGGGGCTGGCAGGTTCGGCGTTGACTTGGGGCACAGGGGTGGGCCGGATTGCACACCTTCAGACACGCTGCTCAACCAGATGCTCAGGACGTTGACACAAAGTGACCACTCAAGAAGGATACAGGGGGAGGGAGGACTCCGGTAACTGTTCGCAGTGGCAATCAACAGACAATTTGCCATCAAGCATACATCTCCAACAGGAGATGTTATTTTTATTTTTGATTATCTAGTTGTTACAAACTTGACTAACAACTGACAGACAGCTACAGACAGATTAGATCTTCGCTGTACTGCAATCTGTTCTAGGGTAATCTAAAAATAGATTTAATATATCCTGTAGGACCTGATATTAGTTGTTACTATATCACCTAACTGTTTTTGTTCCATCCGACCGAAATTAGTTGTGATTCATAATCGGTTGTGTGTCAGGCTAAGGTAGGATTCAGTGTGGATTCTAGTTTAGATCACACACACTGTAGCTCATGAGTGATGCAAGCACTAGTGAGGAGGAGTTGTTAGTGGACGACCGTAGGACTACTCGTGGGACTGCTCGTAGTCGACCCTTGACATTCTTGGAGTTAGGTCCAGGAGACGAGAGAAGATTGCGGAGAGAGGCTAGAGAGAGAGCAACGACAAGAAGAGCGAGGGCAGCCGAGGATGGTGCCAGGACTAGAGTTGCAGCTAGCACCGGTGCAACCATGGCTACCTCATCTATGTCGCTAATCTCTACACAGTCCACTTCGTCAGGAGTCAGTCAGAGTGGTTCTCACTGGTCCATTAGTCAGACTGCTGGCTTGCGAGTCAGCCAGCAGACTCAACTCACGCCGAAGGATTTAGAAATCCGGCAAGCAGAAGAACTTCAGGATGAGCTATAGCGGCAATTGGACGAGGCAACCGAGAGGAGAAGGAGAGCAATCCTGAGAAAAGCTAGACTAGGCAGTAGAAGAGAGGAGCTAGGCAGACTGGAAGGACTGGATGAGGCGGCATTAGACCCTGCTGGCTACGTAATGGTTTACTTTCTGTGGCTGAAGCGCAAAACGTCCAACAGGAATTGCTGGTCGAATTGGTGGCAGGCCAGAAACAAATCCTGGCTGAACTTCGGGCTCCTCGCACAGCAGTGAGCCAGCCTCAATTTGCTTAGTTCCCCCTATGGGTGCGGGTCCTTCATCGATGCCGCAACACACAGGGCCAACCTTCTCTCCTATGTTTGGCATGCCCCCTCCAGGTGGTTTAATAGCAACTAGTGGTCCGGTTCATAGAGTCTCAGCCGTACCATCGACGACAGTGGTAACTACAGTCCCACTGTCAAGCCAGGCCCAGGTTAGTGTGCAACGGCCTGTTTCAGTGGCTATGCAGCCGCTGCAGCAAGCCCCTCGGCCCATGCAGCCTATGCAGTGGATGCCCAAGATTCCCCTGCTGAGTCCTAAACCTTTTTCTGGAGACAGGAAGAAGGATGAGGATCTGGATACCTAGGTAAGGACTGTGCCTACATATGTGAGGCATAAGCTTAAGGCCAGAGCAGGAAGTTGTAGTTGCTGCGTCCTTTTTAGAAGGATCAGCAGCACGTTGGTTGAATGGGTTAGTGCAGCAGCAGGGCTATGGTCAAAATTTCCATGCATGGGCACAGGCCCAGACATTGGAACAGTTCGTACAGACTGTGTACAGGAGATGGTATGACCCTCAAGGGGCTCAGAAGGCCACCGACGCGATCAACAATCTGTGTGCCAAGAAGTACAAGAATGTTCGCGAAGTCAAAGACACTGTAGAACGTCTGATCGTAGTGCCTGGTGTGCGCTTTGACGCTCACGCACTCCTCACGAATTATTTGAGATGTCTTCCATCAGAAGTCAGAACGAAACTGGTGGATGAAGCCTACGTAGACCAACACAGCTTTGCTACTTTCAGCAGGAAGGCCCTAGACATAGAGGCAAAGCTGGGATCTGCGCATCAAGTTTCACATGATGGTAGGAAGAGACTGCCCCAGGATTGGAAGAAGAAGGGTCAGTTGATGTTTGTTGACCACGATGGTCAAACAACGGAGATTGACGATTTCCCAGATCTTGGGGAGGTGACAGAGCAGGATGGGGCCAACGAGACTTCGGATGGGGGAGTCGTGGCACCTATCAAGGAAAAGGCTAGGGGGACCGGGAAGAAGAAGGTAGTATGGTCCACGGGTCAGGGCGACCAAGGAACACCCGCATGGGTAAAACTTGGTTTAGAGTATGAGGTGTGGAGAGACAGAGTTGCTAGGGGCACGTGCATGAACTGTGGCAATTATGGCCACACGTCTAGAACGTGCCGAGGCAAGAAGGTCTTGACGAGGGTAGCCTCACCAACGGTGGTGGGACTATCTTCGAACTCTGGCGGTGCTTCTGCGAGCACTTCGCAGGGAAACACCTCGGGCCAGTAGGAGTATTAGCCGCTCTTACTCGCGCTGAAGTGGTAACGTTGCCTTCCCCACTTCAGGCGTTGGCCAAGGCTAGAGACCCACGCATCGCCCCGCAGACACATTTAGACCCACCGACGCTCTGTTCGAGAGATGTGTCTGAGGCCCTAGAAGAGTTAGAGATTGAGTGGTCAGGGAAGGACCCCAGGGACTTTTGGGCGATGATCAATAGAGGTCCAAAGGGCTGTCTCTTATACACATCTAGATGTGTATAAGAGACAGTCTTCGAACTCTGGCGGTGCTTCTGCGAGCACTTCGCAGGGAAACACCTCGGGCCAGTAGGAGTATTAGCCGCTCTTACTCGCGCTGAAGTGTTAACGTTTCCTTCCCCACTTCAGGCGTTGGCCAAGGCTAGAGACCCACGCATCGCCCCGCAGACACATTTAGACCCA